CGCAACAACGGGACCTTCTTCGGCTTCACCTCGAAACCCTGGAGCTCCTAAACCCTTCAACTCCTTTGCAACATTAAATCTCGGAGTTGAAGTAGCAGGAGGTTGGAAACGCGCCAATACCGCGTCCAACGTCCTAAAGAACACATATTGATCAGCTACAAGCGCTCCAGAAGATGCATGTTCTTCATCTTGCTTGGCCAGGATAGGTGAATTACTACTCTCAACTAATCTATCCTCTCCCGCTTCACTTCGGGAGCTATATTATCCAGACATCTAATAAGATATAAACAAATATCTCTATCAGCAAAACAAATATATCTATCAGCAAAACAACATACTCTTTACTCTTATCGGATCAGAAGTTCTTACTACTATGTTGGCATGTACACTTTTTAAGACACTCTAGACTCCAGTTTATGTCAAGAATCGACTAAATCGTAGCTCTGATACCATTAAATGTAATACCCTCAACCTGTATCCGACCCAGATACGAACCCGAGGTGTCACATTGACTTTTCAAACATGTACATTTATAAAAATTATCAGAAATTTAAATTTTTATTAACATGAAACTTATATTTACATACTGAAGTTCAAAACCATTACAAAATTGGTCAGAGCATACATACTTTACGACTCTATTTACATGCCAACATATCTATTATATAACCAAAACATATTGTATAAAGTACTTCTGATATGATCGTCACTCGAAGATATGCTGCTCTACTGCTCCTAAAGCCGATCTTCTTGTTTTCTGGTACCTACGTGTAAACCACTTACACGCTAAGTCATAGACTTAGTGAGGCATAATCATATAATAAAGAATTTCTATAAATATGAACATGCAATCTATTATCCAAATACAACTATGTTCAGCATATCATAAATCAGTTATACGATATATATATATATATATATATATATATATATATATATATATATATATATATATATATATATATGAAGCACTATAAATGAGGGTATCGTATTAAGATACAATTATACATATACTATTTATGTCCTTTATAAGCCCATATACACTATTGAGAACTCAAGGTATACGAGTACTATGAGGTTGTGTACACATATATTGTCACCACAGCTCGTATAAAATCCACTAAGTGGCATATGAAATCTCTATCCTGAATGACCTATCCATATGTTCCAAAGAACATAGGTAACTGTCCATATGTCCCGAAGGACGTATGTAAACTATCCATATGTCTCGAAAGACATAGGTAACCCTCAGATCTTGGCATGCCAACTATACCTCTAGCTCTAAAGACATATAACATGGGCATTTTCTTTTATATCATTTCCCATATTCATATAAACATATGATTCACTTCCACGTATCACATATACTTTCTCTTTCATATATCTTATGTCTTGTGATCATGTAAGCACATTACTTATTTCCATATAGCTCATACTATTTCATTCATAAACACATAATTCAAGTATCTTTCATATACCTAATATATATCATGTAACTCATCTCACTTTACATTTATTCATATAATTCTATTATATTGATTTCTATAATTGTTCACATATCTCATGTAGCATGTATGGTCACCTATCATAGGTTCATACAACTCCTTATGTCTCTATCATATAACTTATTTCATATCATAAATCATATCGATCATTGGTACTATTTCATATGACTCATCACACTAACATATATGTATACATAAATCATGTAACATACACAACAACATGTCAACACATATAAATTATCACAACACATTCTTCTATTTATGAATTCATGCATTTTACTATCGGAAATAGACTTATCGCAAGTCTTATTTCCATTAAACATCATATACTATTAATATGCACTCACCTGAGCCTTGTTTGCTTTGAATCGATCATAATTCTTCGATTGATCCAGAACAGAATTACGTTATATATCTACATAATCATACATGGATCCATATCATTATTCTAATTGATATACTCTAATCTTTCATTTCTTAGTCTAAGAGAAAGGTTACTTTCATCTTTTATTTAAGGAATGTATCGGTACACTCTATAGTGTATCGGTACATTCCTTAACGTGTGTATCGATACACTACCTATGTATAGATGCATAAATTACATTCGATGTTTTCATTTTAAGGGGTGCATCAATACACTTCATGTGCATCAATACACATTGAATAATTTCTGAAAATTTACCCTTGATGCATCGGTACATGTTGAATGTGTACCGATGCACACTAGCTCATAATTCCAATTTATGCACGAAAATTACTTCATTCTAACTTAATTGTGTCATATTTCAACCCCTTTCATATCCTCAATTTAAACACACATACTTAAGCCCATTTGAACTCATTTATCACATCTTAAATCTCAAAATCCTATCATCTACATAACCTTCAAGAATCATACCAATTTTTCCACTTGATCTAAATCCAATTCTATCACTTCATATCTCTTAATTAGACTGATGACAAGTAAAATTTAACTTTCAATTCTAATTATGAACTCTCTTCCAAGTTTTCATTCAAGAGCTCCTAATCTTTAATCTCTCCTAACTCCATCATCCTTTGTTTTTAAGATAATTTAAGCTTTCCTTAAGCTTAATTATCATCCAATAATCATAATCCAACTTTAAATTTGGCATGTAATTAACCATCTAAAAAACTCACCTTTGCTTGAAGTTCCACGACTGAAGAAGAAAAGAGAAGAGTTTTATGGAGAATTTCCTCCTTCCCTACATGTTATCTCCGTAAATAGGCAGATAAAATATCCTTTAAGCTAAATTACCATACAACCCTTTTAATCCTTTCATAATTACCATTTAATCCAACACTGAAATTTTCCTATTTAAATCTTTGAACTTTTCAGTATTTCTAAATTGATCCCCAAATTTCAAAAATGTTCATTTTAGTTACTGACCCGGATTTCGGGATGTTACACAACCATAATGATCAGTCGAAAACAATCTTGTCTTTCTCTATCACCGAAAAGAACAAATTTGGAAGAAATTTTCTAAGTGTTTTCTAATTCAGCATTGTGAATTGTGTCTTGTGACTTGTGTTGTCTTAGAATTGTGCCTCAAGTAACCTATATATACGGAGAGGAAATGGATTGAGAGGTTAAGACCTTTCGATGAAATGACTTAATTTTTTATTAAAAGACTTCTCCTTTTGATGAAAGTGCTTAACCTTTTCATGAAAGAATTTAATATTTTCATGAAGAGAATTATTGAATAGGTATGATTGAATGGATGCAACTTTAAACCAAAAACTATGTTCATTCACCAAGTGACATGACTTATAATTAATTAGTTACAAATAGCATCAATTCATTCGATTTTTCCAACATATTTGAACTCAATTGATTTATTATTTGATGAATTTAAACTCGAGTCATTTAGTGTTCACAAACATATTTAATTAACGTACTTGAACACGTTCGTTTCTACTGAGAGATGTACACCTAGATTAATAGTTTGAAATACAAATATAAGAAAGATATATTATTTCTTTATTTATACATTTGAGTTTTGATGCATTAATCTATATATACGTATCTACACTAATATAAGTACCTACATCTATTATTTTAGTAACTAAAAAAACAAATATTTGTATCTATGTAAGTATATGCATATAGTTTAATGTGTTGAAATTCAAATACAAATAAAGAAATTTATTTTAATATTTTTATAAAAAATATTATTAATAAATAAATAAGCTTTTACACAAACTTATTTATGAACATGAATAATTCCAATATATTTATGTTTGTGTTTGTTCATTTACTAATTAAATATAAAAATATTAATATTTATTTAATTTAATTTAATATAATATAATATAATAAATAAATTTATAAATAATTCATCAAACATGTAACGTCACAAATTCCGGGTTAGTAGTTCGTGTCAACCCGAGACCCACAATCTGAGCCCAAATGATTTATTAAAATAGTTTGACCAAGTTTAGTTAAAATTGGGCTTGAGTTGGGCCCAAGAGATTTATGAAGGGTGATGGTGTTTTATGAAATAGAAAGTAGAGGGACTTAAAGTGCAAATTTCCCATTGTTTTTTAAAAGCTAAAAACCCCTCCCTTATTATATGTGTTTTATGTGAACTAAACCCCCACTCATGTGTCTGGGATAACATATCTGAAGCACAAGTAAAATATTATATGCGGTTAATTTCTCCAAGCCTCTATGCACTTTGCTACAGTAAAATCAACCGTTCGATTTTGATGATGAGTGTTGCAACGCATTCAAAGAGTTGACGAAGATAATTATCTCAGCACCCATAGTTGTTCCCCCAAATTAGATAGCATCATTCGAACTGATGTGTGACACAAGCAACTATGCAATAGGAGCAGTGCTTGGGTAATGTCGAGGTAAAATTTTTCATGTGATTTATTATGTTAGTCGTACCTTAAATGAAACACAAGTAAACTACACATCCACTCAAGAAAGATTTACTTCTTGTAATATTTTCTTTTGATAAGATTGGGGCTTACTTGATAGGCACTAAGGTTATAATTCACACTGATCATTCAACTATTAAGTACCTTGTGACCAAGAAAGATGCTAAACCTAGACTTATCAGGAAATTCATCTTGTTTCGTCACTCAAATAAAAACACGCTTTGGTGAAGGAGATGAGTGGGAAAGGATATCCTGTGTATGGGATAACCTTTCCCACTCATGTAGTTGATTGTAAGTCCGATTTCGATTCTGGGTCGTATTAGGGATTTCGTTTCTCCTTTAGTTGTGTTTGGTTTCGAAGTGTTCTAAACTCTTTGCAGTGTAAATCAAAGTATGAACTGTTGATAAAAGAGGCTAATATTTTGATGTTTGCTCAAAGAATCTGTGGCCAAGTATACCAATCAACGACTATAGAACCTTCAGCCTTCCTACTTGTACAGAAACAATATGAATTCAAGCACAGCAAATATTTTACCAACACAGAATTTATTTTTCTTATAAGTCTTACTCATCGAGTTACATGGACGATCATTTTCCATCCATAAACCAGACTCCGATTCTCAAATGATCAAAAGTACACTACAAAATAAGTTTGACACTTTCTGCAGCACAATTGAAAGCAAATTCAAAGAGATACTTAAAAAGGTTTACATATCCACTTCCCATTTGATGATCAAACTCCAAACCATTTGCCAATGGCTTCTGATTCCTACACCAATGGAAATACTATTAGAAATCACTTTGAGATTGGAAATAAAAACACGTAAATTCAGGTTGCACCACTTGAGAACTACTATTAGAAATCACTTTGAGATTGTTAAATAAAACAAGTACAATGTAAGGATTTCTCATTGACATTATCAGCTTGCACCACTTGATAGAACTTTTGTGGAAATTGGAATATATTCTAATCCTAACAGGTTCAACTGTTAATGGGGAAATAGTTTGCCTACAAATTCAGGTTAAGGTCTGATTCGAATTCTTAGATCATCTCCTAAAGAAATTGAACTAATTACAACATATTTCCATCATTCCTATACTTCAAACTATAGAGAGCTATATTACTCTGACCCTTCAATTTTCTTATGTACCCATGCCTCAGAACCATGTGTCCAAAACATATCTGGATAAGAGCACAGGGATATAACCTCTAAATACATGAAAAAAAACACAGAAAAAGTTGAAAATACCCATATCAGATACACATATCTTAGGGTTACACCCGATTCTGAGTGACACCCAGTGAGCATAAATATGTTCCAAAAGGGGGAATTAGGGTAATAATTATAAATTCTAAGACATTAGAAAACAATGATCAAGTTCTAACACTGTCTTGAAACCACCAAATACTAAAATAATTGTGAAGCAAGATAAAGTGCAAATATTTCAAAATGAATGAAATATCCCTCAAATCAAACATTGCCAGACCTAAGTGAAATGCCGAAATCAAGAAAACTAAAGCCCCATATCAGATACACATATCTTAGGGTTACACCCGATTCTGAGTGACACCCAGTGAGCATAAATATGTTCCAAAAGGGGGAATTAGGGTAATAATTATAAATTCTAAGACATTAGAAAACAATGATCAAGTTCTAACACTGTCTTGAAACCACCAAATACTAAAATAATTGTGAAGCAAGATAAAGTGCAAATATTTCAAAATGAATGAAATATCCCTCAAATCAAACATTGCCAGACCTAAGTGAAATGCCGAAATCAAGAAAACTAAAGCGAAATGCCAAAATCAAGAAAACTATGTACCAACGATCTAAACCCCAAATTGATCCTAGAATTTTCTTCAGCCTCCATCCCTAACAAAACCCACGTTCACCGCACCAATTGTTGATGGAAACATTTTAGTTGTGGCGGCTATGGACAATCCACCACCGGCTGCGGCTCTTCGACTAAACCAGAAGGGCTGAACCGTCCATAGTACCACAACCAAATGTTTCCATCAATAAACTTCAATGTGAAGATCAAACCAGTGAAACCCGAATCTTGAAACAGTAATACCATTCTCAAAATCCAATGCCCATAGACAATTTACTCCAAAATAACAAAAAGGGCATAAATAAAATCCCAGAAATTGTTGAATAATTATACCTCAATTTCGCTTAGAGGAGGAGGCATAGCTGTCTTGAAGAAGGTCATCATAAGGATCCCTACGTCCGGGAACTTGACTGATCTGAGGATCCCAACGGAGCTGAGCATTGTGACGCTCAAAGGTCCAAAATCCATAAGGCCGCAGTGGATAACTCCACATCTCCTTGGTCTTTGCGCATCGATCCTTCGTCGCGTAAACGTGTTCCCTGAATTTCCTATCCCTCTCTTTTGGGTCCTCCATTAACCTCAACACCAAATTCTCTGCGAACTCCATTATGAAACCCATTTTCTTGCTCCCCACAAAATAAAACCAGAGCTGAAAACCCCAATTTAACAAACAAACAAACACAAACAGACTCGATATAAAAAATTTATAATCGAACAAACCCGGTAAAAAGCGGATTAAGGAGAAAAACCTGTTCGAAGATCTCAACTGACGATTAACAGAGCAATGGTCTCGAATTTGCGAAAGCAAAGATCGGGAAACCTATTGATGTATATGTAGAGTAACTCGAGAGCCTAACTCGGGCGCTCAACACAACTCGGCCCAGTTTCATTGCCTTTATAAGGTTGGATTAAACCCTCAACACGGTTCTTCTGGCCCAATACCCCAAGCGGGTTAATTTATTAGGGTACTAGGTCGGCCCAGTTTTTATTTAGAGAAATACTGTAAATAGTTCAGTGCACCTGGAACTCGTGAGGTGACGAGTTCCCTCATATATTATTTTTAAATGGTTCCCACGTGGTGAGCCCAACGTGGATTATTATTTTATTCTCATTTAAATGACTCATCACCAAAAAATTATTTTTTTAAATTACAAAATAAAAAAAATAAATTTAAAAATTTGAAATAACACGTCTCCTCAACGTAACGAGTTCCTTCAAATTAAAAAAAATAGCCGTTAGTCAACGACCAGATGGGCAACAGTCACTTGGAACTTGTCTCCTCGAGGTGATGAGTTCGACTGAAATTTTGAAGGAAAAAAAACTAATCATTTATAGCCTTGAGGGTAAGCAATAAATAGGGTTTGGGATTTGGTTTTTCACCAAACCCTAAATCTAAAAAATTACAAAAAAAACATATGTTGTGTAAAAATCTCGAAAAATGGGAACCCGAGCAAAAATGTTGCACTTGGATAACATCCATATTTCGTCGATCCAACGCGGGCCGGAAGATGAATAGAATATTCGTAAGCGCGAGATGACATACGTGGCTTCAAGTTGTACCCGGTGTTGATTGAGGCTTTGATCAAACGTTGACGGCTCGAGACGCACATGTTCCATTTCTCGAGTGGTGAAGCGACGATTAATTTGGAAAACGTCGCTTACCAACACGGTGTTCCGGTGAATGGAACTCCCCTGGTGAGGCAGAATATTTATGACCCCGCGAGTTGGTCTACCAAGTTTTGGGAAAATGGCCACCATCCGTCGTCATCGAGGGCTATCGTTTCGAATTACGTGGTTGGAGTCCAAATTCCAAGTGACGACCGACTCAACTGAGGTCGAGGTTATTTTTGCGTCCTAAGCATATCTTCTCCAACTGTTCAAAGGGGTATTATTACTGGATAAATCCAGTAATTTGGCGCACTCTCAGTATCTACGATTTTTCAAAGATTTCGATGTGTGTCGTAATACCAGTTGGTGCTCGGCGATTTTAGCCTTTTTGTACTGGGAGCTTTGCAAGCCTATAATTGTCCATTCAGGTCGAAAAGTCGATGTAGCAGGTTGTCTCATATTGCTACAGTCCTAGGCTTGAAACCGATCCCCATTTTTTACAACAATTACACCAGCCCCGGTCGAGTTTCCTCTGGTAATAAGGTAATTTTTAACTTCATTTATTTAACTGTTTTTTGAATTTTTTGAATTTTATTATTTATTATTTTTTTATTTTTAAATATTTTAGATAGTGTCATAAAATAGGCGAGACGAAAGGCTTATAGAGTAATGCGACAGTTTGCATCTCATCAGTCGATTCCTACGCAAATTATTGAAATGGTTGAACTCGTTACTATTTTTTACAATTATTTATTTACTTTTTATTTTTTTAAAATACAAATACATTTATTTTTCTTTAAATTTTTTTTTTTTAAAATTTTATATAGTTAAATTCGTTACCTAGAGGTGATGAGTTCCAAAGTGATTGTTGTGTTGTCCATCTGCCCGTTGACCAACAACTAGTTATTTTTTAATTTGAAGAAACTCGTCACCTCGAGGTGATGATTTCTTTTGAATTATTTTAATTAAAAAAATTATTTTTATTTTGTAATTTTAAAAAAAATAAGAGACAAATCACCTCGAGGTGACGAGTCATTTTAATGACATTAAAATAATGATTCACGTGGGGGACCATGACAAGTTTCAAATGTAATGTAGCATTTTTCGTATTTCCCAAAATAAAAACTGTGTCAACCTAATACCTTAATAAATTAACCCGCTTAGGGTATTAGGCCAAAAAAACCCCTCTACACTCTATAACTTAGGCTAAGGCCCAATGATTACGGCCTAGCAAGTATATTTCAATTTTCATCTGCCCATCGATTGCCCCCAACAAACAACTGATAATATCAAATTAATTCATAATATTTATAATATTAAATTTAAATTTAATTGGTATAATTATGATATTTAATTGATATTTAATTTAAGATAATAAATATAATTTATTTCTGATTTAATTTTATTTATATTATTAAAATAAAACTAAATAATAAAGATTTGCACGTGTGGAATTGCTCAGTGAATTCAATATATTATTAATATTCACATAAAGTAAAAGTATATTATTTTTATTTACGTGAATTAAGTTACCTTAATGGTTAAATAAATTATTATAATTTTTAAAAATCTTGGGTTTTAAGCACCAGAGACCGTAAGATATTTAAGCATTCATTGTCAAATAATCGAGATTCTATAAAAAAAATACTATTATTTATTAGGCCTTAAATTAATAAATGAAGTATTAGATATTTTTTATTGGTGAGATGTGACAACCTTAAATATTTGATGTTTTGTCCTAATTTCAACCCATATTATAGTCAATAAACCCCCCCCCCCCCTCAAAAAAAAAAAAAAACTATGGATAGAGTTTTGTTTGAAGTAGATTTTGGTTAAGAAATATGAATCCATGTGAAGAACAAAGTCATAGCAAAAAAGAAATTGGATTGGGCTTAGGGTTTGAACTACCACCGTAAATCTTAAATTATTAATAATAGTTCTAAGATTGAGATTTGAAAATAGATTTTTTCTTATTTCTTAATAATTTTGAGCTTTTTAATTTGTATTTAAAATTAATTGAATTTTAAAATATTAACGGGTATCATATTAAAATTTATTGGGTCTTAATGTTTTAAAGGGGTCTAGAGAAATTGGCCTAAACATAAATGACCGAACATAAACGAACGAAAGTAAAAAACATAAACGAATGAACATTATCGAACATAAATGAACGAACATATTACCGAACGTTCACGAACGTAAATGAACGAACGAACCCTCTGTTTGTGTTCGTTCATTTAATTAAACAAACACATAATCTTGTTCATGTTTGTTCGTTTAATAAATAAACGAACTTCCCGTCGAACAGTTCGCCAAACATTCGGTTCGTTTACAACCCTAATTTAAACTACAAAGAGATGATATATAAAAAGTAAATTAAGAATTTAAAATATGGTACTCGAAACCAATCTGCCTTGCAAAAGTGATTCTATAGTTAATCACCAGGCTAAGCCAAAAACATGTTAACATTTTACCGTCTCTAGATAGAGAGAGATTCAGACCTGATATTTTTTTATTAGTAAAGATGATTATAATATAATGTCTATTTAGAATTTTCTTCATTAATAGACAACATACATTCCGTATCCGTGGAAAATAATATTTCCTTCCTGACTACACACTTCATTTTTCTTTTATTTTAGTTTATATAAATTTTAGTGAAATGTTAACATATTTAACTTAGTTTGGTGTTTAAGTGCTTGGTTTTTTTGGGGGTAAAGGATCTCGGTTCTAATCTCATGTTACCATCTTATTAGTTCAAATAAAATTATTATAAAAAAATAATTTTATAACTATTGGTGATCAAAATAATACATATATAATAATTGAAGCAAAAAAGAGGATAATGATGTAATTTAGCCAGAAGAATATATTCATTTTTTTATTTGTGATGAACAAAATCACATCAATTCTCTCTTTAAAGAAAAAAAGTGAAGGCAACGTGCACATTACACACAACATCCTCCACAAGTGCATGTCCCTCCCACTCTTTTGATTTCATCTCTTTTCCATTTTTCAGTCTTCTTGATTTTCTTTTCATTAGAGAGATTTTTTAGGGTTTTGGCATTAGCAAAGAAGAGAGGGAATGGTGTTGGATTCTCTACCCCTTCTTTTGACATTAAGAGAAGGAATCCCATTACCTTTACCATAAAGTTAAGGCAATTAGTGAGATATAAACCAAAATTGTGGTTATCATGTTGAATTCATAAAATATTCTGACCAATTGAAATTCCAAAAAGGAGAGATTAAATAGTAAGTGAAATACATGCCAAAATTGTGGTTAATTGTAATTCTTAATATGGGTTACTTGTGTAATTATAAAAACATTAATCGAAGTGTTAATAAGCTTAAGCCTTGGGATAACGAAAGGAAATCTATCCAGAAAGAGAAGCAAGAAATAAAGGAAAGATGTCATTGTTTTTTTTTTTTTACATTTTCATTTTTCACTTTGCTTATTTACGGCCTTGAACTGAAACGTTACCGTGGCCGTTAATATCGCCGTTATCGTTTTTAACTATCGGCAATGACTTCATCCATTCCGTCGCCACCGACGCCTTCTTCATCCAGCCACCGTTCGACCGGCGCGCACTCGGCTTTATGCCTCAGTTTCCAATCAAGAGCCTGGCAAGCGCGTGAACAGTAATTCACGGCACCACAAACCGAACACCGGCGGAACTCGTGTATTCTCGTCTCCGGTCTCCCACAACGGACGTGCGAGCAGAGCCTCAAACCCGGTCCGCGGACTCCGTCTCTTGAACCGAACCACTCCGTTAAGAACTTGTTCGCCGGATGTGTGCAACCGGCGCAGGTACATTGCACCCGAAATCACTCAACAACGGGCATCCGGGAACTGTCGGAGAACGGTTGTTGGGGTGCGGGATCGGATGTGGACTCCACGTGAGCCAAGAGCGCGTACCGATGTTAGAAACGGATGTTGATGATAAACCCGCCATAAGCTCTCGGGCGTTGGCTTGGACCAGAAACCGACGGCCCTCGGTTATGTTCTGTCGGACGCCGTAGCCGTCTTGCAAGCAGTGACCAAGTTCACGCAAGGCGTCGACGTGACCGAGAAAAGCGGCTCGCGCGCACAAAGCAACGCCGGTTCTAAGATCCTTATCGTTCTTAGAGCCGCCGCTTCCGTTGAACTGAATTACAGCTAAGGAGTAAAGCGCCGGCGCGTGGGAACTAATCGCTGCCTTCGCCATAAGAGAAGCTCCACT